ATTGTAGCTTACCCAAGGGAGACTATCTTTGCGGGCCTGGCAGCAGCTCTGGGAGAGGTGGAGAGCTGCAGGAGAGAACAGAAACCTCAAGGCCGGAGCCAGAACCCAGTCAGCACAAGTGAGAAGCAGCACCGGAGGCTGCTGGAGAAGAGCTTTTCCGGTCTAAATCTCGCCTTTGATGCCAGCGTCCCCTGTGTAAACTCTCCACTGGCAGGGGCAGAGGTCGGGGAGGAGGCGAGCTGGGGCCGGAACTGTAGGAGGAGCGGTCCAATACAATCTACCGCTTACAGAGGACTACAACGCCGGCAAGAGAGAGAGGAAAGGGGGCTGCTAGTTCCTAAGAGGTGGGTTCTTTGGCACCCCTAAAAATCCAAAGGTTGGCTCTAAGGATGGGATCCCAAGCTCTTCGTGTAGCTTACAACGGTGGGCCTTAACTTCTAGGCTGCGTTGGACTTGTTAAAACAGAGATGGCTGGGTTGCACCTGAATTTCTGAGAAGTTCCCAGGTGATGCTGATGCTGCCGGTCCACGGACCACACTCTTGAGAGCCACTGGCCTAGAACGCCCCTATTGCCAGGCTACCTGACCCTCCAAGATCTGTCATCAGTCCTTAAACTGCAAAGGACATTCTTATTCCAGTTTCTTCAAAGACCGTGTTCATGGATGTCACTGTTTCAAGTACGGCAAACGCACCAAGCCTTCACTCCGGTTCTATTAAGACTGTGAATGTAAACTTCACCCCCACATCCAATACAAAAGAATTCAGATCCATCATCTGTTTTAATTTATTCAGACTGTTCCTTGCCTCCATTAACGTGAATGATTGGGAGTTAACCAGACTTAAAATTTATTGCGCATGGAACGAGAGCTATTACCTGGACTTGAAAAATACTTTAACTCCTCTGACCATGGTCTGAGATTTCAGACTTGTCAGTAAAAATGGGCGTTTGGGGTTGTTCTGAAACCTTCTGCCATGACATCCTGATCACAGTGAATCTGATTTGCTGAAGCAAATTTCTTTGCTCCCGGGGCCTATGTCTAAGATCCAAATTGGTAGCTTGATTTTGGCAACAAACAGTATATACTTCCGTTTGCCACCATTTATTTTTTTTTCCCCCCATTTAAAAACGGCCTTAACTTAAAGCTTGACTCTACTTTCCCACCAGCCTGGGCCCTGTGGGGCTGATGGAGTAAAAATCCAACTTCTGCTCAGCAAATGAAATAAACTGTTTTCAAGACACATATGGAGTAAATATGGATGGTAAAGAGGTGCTACCTTTACGGTCACTTTTCCGACCATCCGCTTCACAAATTATTTACAGGTCTCTCAGAAACTGGCTTCGCTGTTACCCCGCGGCCGAGGGGCGGACGGGCCCAGCCACCAGTCCTAATGTGCTCATTCCCATGTGACTCATTACTGCAAACAAAGGTGTTGGCCCAAAATGCTCCGAAGCAGCTGAAAACTATCCCATTATGTAGCACCCAATCAAGGCCTTTTTCTTCTCTTTTCTTTAAGTCCTTTTCTTGACTCTCACCACATGGAAGCGTTTTGAGAACCGGTTCTGAGGGCTCCAGGAAGCTATTTCGGGACTCCCGTGCCGACAACAGGCCTCACTTTGATGTCCGTAGTAAATGGCTGTTCTGGGGAAGTGCGTTCTCTAATCCTCCCACCCTCCTGCCTTCCTATCACTGCCAAACAAGGAAGCTTTCTCGGATAATAGCTTGTGCAAAACCCTACAGTTTCTACACTTGGTCCTAGTTTCCAAACTCCTTCCAAAGCAAGCTTAGCGTCTGCTTGTCCTCTTTCCCAACGAAGCGGCGCTGGGAAGAGAACGGTATTATCAATGAAAACCTGACAAACGTTTGTGATCACCTGTTGGCTGCCAGGCATCGTGCTGAGCCCTTTAGATGTATCATCTCATCGAATCGCAGAAACAGCCCTAGGTGTGGGTAGTTATCATTCCCATTTTGATGATGAGAGAACTACAAGAACACAGACAGAATGTTCTATCTGGGGTGACAAAGCTACTCAGTGAAGAGAGAAACAGGTTTAGAACCCGTGTCCTTTTTTAAAACTTAAAGTATAACATACTCAGAAAAATGAAAAATCCTGAGTGTATATAGCTTGGGGAATTTTCATGAAACGAACACACCCATGTAACCAACTCAAGCCCCCCCACCCAAAATACTAGCCACACCCTAGCAGCCCCCTTCCTGCACCAGTCATTAGCCACCCACTCTGCACAGGGAACGGTTATCATGACTTCTTAGATTAGCTTTGCCTATTTTTGAACTTAAGTGGAACCAATACAGTATGTGTTTTGTGTTTCACTTTTTTTTTTTACCCAATATTACAGTTGTGAGATGGATTTATGATAGTGTAAAGTTTTTTCATTGTTGTCTAGTGTTCCATGGTGTGAACATAGCAAAATTTATCATACTGTTAATGGGCGGGGGTTATTTATAAACTGGGGCCATCACAAATAATGCTGTGAGAACCATTTTGGAACACGCCTACCGGTGACATGTATGGATACACTTCTGTTGGGCATACGTACACCTAGGAGTGGAACTGCTGGGTACGTTCAGCTTCAACAGAATCTTCTAACATTTCAACCTGTGCGTTATGAGTTGGCAAATGCCTTGAGGGGTATTACAATCTGAACTGTGTCCCCCCCAAAACTCATACGTTGAAGCCCCAACTTCCAATGTGACTCTGTTTGGAGATGGGGCCTTTAAGGAGGTAATTAATATTAAATGAGGTCACAGGGAGCCCTAATCGGACAGGACAGGCATTCTTTCAAGGAGTGGAAGAGACACCAGCACTCACTGGCTCTCCTCGCACACACCAAGGAAAGGCTGTGTGAGGACATGCGGTGGGAAGGTGACTGTCTGCGGCCGGGAAGGAACAGAGTCCTCACCAGAAACCAACCCTGTCAGCACCTGGATCTTGGATTTCAAGCCTCCAGAACGGCGAGAAAATGAACTTCTGTTGTGTAAGCCACCCAGCCTGCAGTATTCTGTTGTGACAGCCTGAGCAGATGAATCAAGGGGAAAGGTGGAGAAGCTGGGCTCACCTCAATGAGCTTTCTTTCTCTTTGGGATCTTGGCCTTTCTCCTTCTGGTGTCTCGGCGACTCTGAGCTCACAGTTTTGTCTCCCCAGCTCTCTGACTCTGCCAAAGCTCAGGTCAGGGCTGCAGCCTCACATTGGCTTTGGTGCGGCTTTTCTGCCTCTCATCCTTGTGCCACTTCCAACATGGCAAATCCTTGAGGGGAAAACGGGCTTCGAGGGTGGCCTGAAAAAGTTTACTCTGTCATTACTGAAAATAGAAATGTAATTGGTAGTTGTTAAAACAAGGAACTTACAAATAACTTGAAAAAATAAAACTGTAGGACTAACTCGGCAATTCTGGCCACTTTCTATTACAGTATTTCGCAAACACCTCTTCAAATGTAGTATCTCCTAGTTCTTGAAATATCGACCTGGCACAATTTTTTCTTCTCAGGATGTCGCAATTTGGAACCCACGCTTTCTAGATCTTTGTTAACTTAGAGAACTGAGAATTTCCTAGAAGGATAGACAACTCTCCGCAACACGATCAGAATTGCCTGGAATGGTTTTTGAAAAAAAGATGTTTAAGAAGCACAATCATTCAGGGGCACTTGAGTTAAAAAAAAGTCACATTTGGTGAATGAAAAATAGAATCATGGATGAGCCCCAAACAAAGCACTCGGAATCAGGAAGCCTGGTGTCGAGGCCCATGCTGTCCCCTCATTAATGGTGTGGCACTGGGGGAGTCGGCCACACGGTGCCTCCGTTTCCTCAGCCGGAGAAAGGGGATACTCACATTTGTGAAGTGTTTCCAAATCTCCAAAGCGCAGGTGACCATTCTGCTTCGGGAGCTCCCTCAGCACCTCTGGGGTGAATACCTAGCCCTGACTGCGGGCCTTCTTCATTGGGTTCTGAGCTCCGGGTGCGGGCATGTCCTGCTCTCTTCCTAGGCTCAGTACAGGGCAGATATAGATGACCAACGATGCATGGCTGTGCCCAGCACACACGCAGCTCCTTCCCACACTGGCCCTCCCAAGCGTGTACCGAAATGCTGTGCTACACACTGCAGGCCAATGGTATCCCTGGCAAAGTTGGTCGGTGGAGTTGTCCTGTGAGGGGAAATAGCCACAATCACCCTAGAAAACCCCTCTAATGGCCCACGCCCCAAGGCACCATCAAGTTTAAGAACTAGAAAGGAAGGAAAAACTGGCATAACCACAGATCCAGCATTCAAACTCCCCTGCCTCTGTAATACCTACCGAGCCCCTGACATGAATGGAGACAAGTGGTGCTGGCTGAGGAAGGCCTGTTCACCTACAGTATGTCCCTCCTTCATTCTGCTTTTCCTGTTAAGTCTCTAGGACTTTCACTTCTGAACTAGAGTTTTTATTGTGAAGTAAACGCAGTGATGTTGAGGTTGGGTCCTCAAGTCAATGACTAGCCTGGCTCCTGGATCATCCCTCTTTTGGAGAGTCCCAGGATTAGAGCTTGGTAAATAAAGGCTTTGAAAAAGTTCCTGGTACGTTTAACTTGGTTACATCCAGTTTCTAAACCTTATTTGATACTGGAACTTGCTTCTTGTTGGTGTATAATACCTACTAATATTCTGTGAAACACGCTCAATGTGACATGCTGGAAATGTAGCCGTAGACCATTATTCAAAGCTTTTCTGACTTACTTTATAGACAATCCTTAATACAAATAGTTCTCTGCCTTCAGGGTAGAGCAATTAAGAACAAATTAGGAATAAAAGTGAGGAAGGTTGTCAGATTAAAAAGAAAATGCACAGCTAACATCCTGGCAGGAATGGAAGAGACCAAAAAAAGAAAAAAATCATAAAGCACCCATGGAATTATTTTCAGATGTTCAACAAATATTATTGCATGGTCTGACTGTGGAGGTTCAAAAGAGCAGCAATCAAGTCTATAAGAAAAGGGGACATCCTTGGTAAACTTGCTTAAGATGGTAGGAATTTATTTATTATATTTCACAGTACCAGGTAGGAAAGCCGTCCCTTTATCCGGGGCTCTCGGCTTCCCACAGCTCTCTCCCTTCACACACTGTCCTATCAGCCACCTCGACAAAGGCCACGCCAACCATTCAGAGACTCTTCATACCCTTCAGGTGTCTTAAGAGTCTTTGTGTTTTGTTAGTCAGGAAGGTATCATGGGGAATTTAGTCCCAAATGTTCTTTTAAAGGAGGAAGGTCTTTCTCATGAGTAAATTTCAAGATACCAGAACATAAATAAAAGTTTATTTATCTTTTAGGTCACATCCATTTGTGAATTGCATTCAGTCCAGGAACAGGGAGACTGCATCATGGTCCATGTGGGGGGGCATGTCTCCCATGGCCCGAGGCTCACTGATCACGGCTGCATTGTCCATCCGCAGGGCAAGAAAGCCTCTCTATCTTCCTTTCTTAGGGGGGACATTCAAGGGAATTATTCCCAGAAGCAGACGTGGTCCTCAATCCCCTCTGCTTTCCATTGTGTTGGGCTTATCGGTGGTTCTCTTTAAATAATGACCTTTTCCATCCTTACTCATTGTATTTGGATAGTTTTAAGCGGGGAATGATGTTCATCGACTGCAGCTCCTGGAAGAGCAGTTTGCAGGCGTACGGGATGCGGAGGGAGGACACGTGGCATGACGACTTGCAGTAATGGCACCTGAAACCCAAGTCGGCATGTGTTAGAGGGACGGTCGCTCAGAAACCAAGGCCTGCGCATGGATCCTACTACCATCCCATCCATTCCATTCTATTTGTCAGGGTTCAGTTCCGCTATCAAATATGTACAATTGTGCCCCCCCTCACCCCACCCCACAAAAAGCAGCATCCAAGGAGCAAAAGAAAAAAACACTATCACTCCTGCAGGTTTAAAAGCATGCAATTTTAATCAGTTACTACCATCTTCTAAACCTTTCTCTGTAGAATGTGAAACATCTTCCTGTTTACTTGCTTTGAGTGAGGCCCAGAAATCTGAGCCATCTCAAAGTTACTCAGTTTAGACTTTTTCATTGTTGAAAACTTCTAAAATCGATTCAATCTCCATGTAGTTGATAGAATCTATTACATAATATTCTTCAAGGTAAGATGCTCAACAATTACAATATGGTCTGTCACTGAGACACCTGACGTGTTGATGGGGAACACAGGACTTTCATAGAGAATGTGGTGGCCGACCAAATGCTATTTATTTTTCCAGTGCTCTTCAAGCTTGGTGATTTCTACTTGTGGGAGAAGCTACTGTACTTAATGACGTGCTCTCCCTGTGTGCATATATTCTCATTTAATCCCTACAACAGCCCATGCTCCTAACCAACACGCCTGCTATTCCAATTAGGATCTTCTTTTCTATTTTTTCAGGAAGAGCCAATGACCAAACCTAGGTCTTTTTTTTTTTTTTTTTAAGGATTTTACTTATTTATTAGAGAGAGAGAGAGCACAAGCAGGAGGAGCGGCAGGCAGAGGGAGAAGCAGGCTCCCAGCTGAGCAGGGAGCCGGATGAGGGACTTGATCCCAGGACGCTGGGATCATGACCTGAGCTGAAGGCAGATGCTTAACGACTGAGCCACCCAGGTGCCCCCAAACCTAGGTCTTAATCAATGGCTACAACTGATGAAGAGTCTCCGGGGAGAAAGCGAACTATCCTCTCAGGTTTCAGACCCAAATAGGTCCTCACCCTACACCTTAAGAGTCTGGGGCAGCTGAGACTTGGGTGGAAAACTAGGTCCTCCCAGTCAAGAGCAGGGGTGAATGAGTGCAAGAGGAACACCAACCAAGGCTCAGAAGGTTCCGTGCTGACTGGGAACCGGAGGCGAAGGCTGCTGTGAAGAGCAGTGAGACAGTATATGTAACAACGTAAATGTGCATCTTATCTGATCAATCACAGAAGTGGCAAAGATGAGTATATGAGAATGTTCACACTGTTTATAACAGCAGAAAGCAGGAGACTGCTCAGAAATCCAGGAGGGAACTGGCTCTGTGATTATAAGACATTTATACAGAAGAATGCTGTGCGGCCATTAAACGTGATGATGTAGACCCATATTTATTGAAATAAGGTGTCTGGCACACACTGTGGAGTTTTTTGTGTGTAACTTTGAATACTTTATAAAGTGCAGGGATCATTTTTGAAATCAGCAAAATCAAGTTTTTATGATTTTAGAAAAGAAAAGCACGAAGCATTTGAGCGTGGTGGTGAACGACGCTGTAGATGTGAACTTCCTGAGAAGGGAACGGGGAGCCAGCACAGTCGTGTGTGAGCAGCGCGGTCCCCGTGAGGGGCTGCCTGCAGGGGCTGAGGACACACGGGGTGCCTGATCCCATCAACAGTCATATCCACACGGTGAAGGGCTTCTTCCAAAAAGACTGTACCTAAAGACCTCTCTAATGCGTTATCATTTAAGAACTATGTTTTTAATGTGCTTGGTTGATCTAATTCATTCAGGAATCATGTTCATGCTTTAATTAAATTGGAGAAATGGGGGGCGCCTGGGTGGCTCAGTCATTAAGCGTCTGCCTTCGGCTCAGGTCATGATCCCAGGGTCCTGGGATCGAGCCTCGCATCGGGCTCCCTGCTCGGTGGGAAGCCTGCTTCTCCCACTCCCCCTGCTTGTGTTCCCTCTCTCGCTGTGTCTCTCTCTGTCAAATAAATAAATAAAATCTTTAAAAAAAAAAAAAATTGGAGAAATGGTTTTAACGGAAGCAACTTCTTGCTGATTCTCTGTTACTCTGTGACTTCAATCCAAGCTTATTTAAGATTTCCGTATGTGCTACTTCATAATCCAGAAAGCCCACTACCTTCTCTATTATTAAACATTTCTCCATCATTTAAAATGTTCCATTGCATTATTATACATACATACACGCATACATATAAACATATATACATATATACACATATAAAAATTATAAGCTATTAAATTACCCTATGTCTGAACAATTTCAGAAGGAAGAAACTTGACCCAACAACAATAAAATAAACTGACTTTTTAGGGCAAAGGCAGCAAAAGAAGGAGGCTGTGGCTTCACATGAGAAATGACTGTCCAGTAAAATGTCCTCTATGAGCTAATTATCTTAACAGGGATCTTCTTTTCTCTGCAGTTTTCCTTCCGGACCTCTCTTTTGTGACTTATGCCCTTCATGTCTTCGGCAGAACAACAGTCTTGCTGTAAACATCCCCATAGCAATGCCTTACTAATGTGCAAATCACTGACAAAAGGCCAGTTTCAAGGTTCTGAACTGCTCTAATTACTCAGCCTCCATTGTGCTGTTCATTAAAGAGCGACTTCCTCCCACACACGCCCGTGCTCCCTCCCACACGGCCCAGCACACACGCCCAGGTAATGATGGAAAACCACAGCATCATTATGTTCCTCTTCCAGAGAGCCGCACACGAGGAGGAGGGTGCTAGACTACCCGACTGGATTAGGATTTTTTTCTGTTGGCAACAACGGTACAAGCGGGCCACTCAAAATCAGACACACAGTATATCCAGGTCTGTTTAATTACAGTAAAGACCCTTAAACCGTGTAACCTGATTTAGCCTTCTTTCAAAGGATTTCAAATACAATACACACGGAACACATGAGCTTCAAAATCAGGCACTGCCATCACATGATCTCTAAATGAGACAGAAGTGAAGCAGGAGAGAAGGTAAGAATTTAACAGAATAATACTGAGATCGAATACTGCTTTCATTAGTTGCCCTTAATATTCAGCAAAACAGAGGGGAACGTTTCCAAAGTATGTGAGTGAATCTGGTCTACTGCTTTCTCTCTCTCTCTCTCTCTCGGGTGGGGGGGGGCACAGGAGAAAATGCAGGGAGGATGGAGAAGAAAAGGAAATCCATTTTGAAGTTTCATGATCCCTTCTTATAATAAAAGGACTCTTCTGTACCATCTTTTCAAAGTAATGACTTAAAAATCCTTGTGCCAAATTTGAAGATGTAAGCGCAGGGGCGCTGGTCCCAGGCACCTTCCTGTTACACTTGCGTGTAACACAGCCAGGACGATAAAAGGCAAATTCAATATGCATTTCAAAAGGTGAATAGACATCTCAGAGTTGAAACCCCCCACCCAGGTCACCGATATGAGAAAGAGCCAGGCTTATGCTTAGAATCACGTCACCCATCTCTGCAACCTTATGAAAGGAATGAGCTGCAAATGGCCACCTCTTGTGTTCGTTTTTAAATGAAGTGATTTCTTCACAGACAAGTCTCATCAACTCTTCTACACTAAAACCCATAAAATAATTGGCTCTAAGGTTTTGTCATTTACCAAGCAAGGTATACACTCTATTCTAAGATGCCCACTCACTCTGACTCTAGATTTGCTTTACTCAGCCAAGGAACTGGAGGCTTAGGATGGCCGGAAGCCGGGACTCTCTCTGGAAGGAGGCTTTGAGGGGAGACTCAGTGGGGAAAAGGGGGCCCAGGTACCCCTCAAACTCTGGCAAAGGTGGCTCATCTGGGCCTAATTCTATCCTCCAGGGGATGGTGCCTCCCTAGGGGAAGGGGCTCTGGGAGTGCAGGTGAAGGGTGACCAGGGAGTTCAGGCTGTTTCCTGTTCCGGCAGCACCCCATTCAGACCTGGCTAGACCTCGTCTCTGAGAGAAAACAAATGGAGACTGGCCAGCTACAGGCCCTCCTGCCTCCAAGGTAAGTCGGGGCCCCGGGATGTGACTAACCCTAAGCAGAGGAGCCGTTCCTTGGTGGTAGAGTGGAACGCTTCCAAGGAGAAAAGGTGCTCCACCTACCCAGACAAAACCCAAAAACATGTAGCTTCACCCTTTAAGCTGGCCTTTGTGTCATGAACTCTGCACAGAAACTGTAAGCTTTATGATTTCCATAATTTACCTACTGGCAATCCTCCATACACAGGGTCAGTGTCATCTAGCCATTATTTTTTACTAAGCATCTACCAGGTCCCAGGCTGGAGAAGCAGGGGGGAAACAAGACAGAATGTAGTTAGAATGGACTAGAAGAGAAGATCCCTGTGAGCAGCCATTCATCTGTCTTGTTCACCATTGTACTCTGGAGCCTAAAACAGTGTCTGGCACTTAGCAGATTCTCACGAATTGTTTGTTGAGTGAATGAGACAGACCTTGTCTCTGCCACGATGGAATTCACAGTCCAAGTGTAAAGCAGCTTGCTATGCAGACAGAGTACAGACAAGGGGTCAGGGTACCAGATCCTGGTCCTGGCTCTGTCACCAACTTGGTATATGACCTGGAGCAGCATATTAGGCTCTTTGGGTTCGAGGCTAAATAAGGGCATTCAACACAATGTTCTCTAAAAAGTTTCTAGTTACTAATGATGTACTATATGTTGGCTAATTGAACGTCATAAAAAAAAAATAAAATCAGACCTCCCTTGAGATCAGGTCTGTCAAAAAAAAAAAAAATTTGTATTTCTCTGATTATTATTGAGATTGAAAAAAAGTTTCTAGTTACAAAATGCTATACTTCTCATACTTAACAATGAAAAGGCTAGGAATTTTTTTACAGGTGAATAGTGATACAAAAGGTGTTCGAAATAGTATTAAAAAGAAGACCAAAGTCCATGCTCCTTGGGTATTTAAACTCTAGTGGTGTAGAAAGCAGAACATTAGGTAGACAAACTAAACAGGTACATATAGTATCCCCAATTCTAGGAATGCACAGATGGGGAAGGTTGGAGAATGTGTGGGTATGATCCAGGGTCACTTCTTGAGCTGTGATTTAAGAGGCAAGGCGTGTGTCTGAGAGACATACGGTATCCACTTACCAGCCAGAATACCCCAGAAGTCCACACTGCCCACAGACATCAACCTCAAAGGCATCACTCGAAATCATTAGTCTCTCCAGTAAAAGCATACTGGCTCCGTAACCGATTAAACAGTCACGTTCCATCTCTCCAAGACGCAAACCGCCGTCACGAGATCGACCTTCGGTGGGCTGCCTTTGAAACGAATCAGACCAATGTGTCATTATTACATTAGACCAACAGAGGGGCGGCATCACGTGCTGGCTAAGAGCACAGGGCTGCGGGGTAGGGCTCACCTGTCAAATCACTCACTGGACAGGGACCTGGAGCGGGCTGCCCAGCCTGCCCCTTGGCTGCATTTGCAAAATGTAAAATTTAAGGCTCCCAAAGAGCCTTAAATGAGAGGAGATGTAATACTAGTGGTTGCTCCTGTTATTAAGTGATGATAATAAATCCTTCCCCTAAAACCTAACCCAAGTAGGGTCTGACTGCTGGGCTCACCGGTGCCTTGAGAATCTCAACTTCCCTTCCCCCTTCTGCAGTTTGGAGCACACGTATGTCTATCATTTCAACAGGCACGTGCATTTGCTCAGTTTTAAGTGGTCACTGGACTGAGTCATCTACACCTCTCCCTTGGTTTAAAAAAGTAAACTCAGATGCTGGCTGCTTCATCCCCCACCCTTCCCCTGTACTGGAACGTCCAAGCCGGGATCAGGGGAAGCAGGCAGGGAACTGGATATTTCTGGAGCATCCCCCAGGGATCAGCACTATATACGTTCTATATCCGAACATCAGACATTCCCCAGCATCTGTTAAGTGGCCATTACTGTTGCCACTTCAGGTCTGAGAAAGACCGGAGCTGCGAGAAGCTAAGTGATCTGTCCAAGGCCCACAGTAAAGCTACGAGGTGGGGCTGAGTTCACATCCATGTCTATCTGGCTTCGAGGCCTGTGCTCCCTCTCCTGGCCCGCGGCTCCTCAACCGCGGCACGAAGCCCCTACTGAGCTGGGTAATTCTCTGGGGGGTGAGGGGGGGCGCTGCCTGGTGCCCTGCAGGGTCTTTAGCAGCATTCCTGGGCTCCACCCACCAGATGCCAGTAGCCCCCTCCCCACACCCCTAGCTGTGACATCCCACGATGTCTTTGGACATTGTCAAATGTTCCCTGGGAGGCAAAACTGCTCGTGGTTGAGAACCACTGCCCTGAACTATGCTTCTCCAACTGGAAAATGTAGTACTAAGAACAAGTGAAACTGAGCATTTGTCATTCCCTTCCCAATAATTATACCCACCCATTCATCGACACGCAGACACTGCTTGGAGCTGAGAATACGCTGACGACTGGGCCTGAGTGGACCTCCCGGAGCTTATTCAGACGAGCGTGCGAGTACATGTGCCTTCGGCTCCAATAACAGAAGGTTTAGAAAATGACAGCTGTGGCTTGGGCTTCCAGATAACAGAAGTATGTGTTTTTTTTGTTTTTTTAAAGATTTTATTTATTTATTTATTTGATAGAGAGAATGAGAGAGAGAG